CTGACACCTCTAGCATAGTCCGTTGTTGGCCGATCATTGCCGCCTTGGAGGGATGGGTAATTTCGTCACGCAAGACGAGATGTGCACGCTCATTGATGTTGATGTCAACTCTGTCCTTATCGATTCGGGTCATCTAACGTTGCTGGGTTTTGTCTTGAGCGAAGTGCGACGGGACCGAGATATTAGTAATGTGAGTGAGGGATGTCATACCCCCTCCAGTTACAGCATGTGAGTGGAGAGACGAAACGCGCGTCGTTAATGACAATGTCACGGAGGGAAAGAAGAACAAGCGGGTGGGCAGTCGCGATCGAGGGAGACGGCGAGAGAGAGTACACACGGAAGTTGGACATGAAAGAGAGAACGAGGTTGACGTCTCTCTCTCGTGAGCTCTCGCGAGTTCTTTGGGAAGTGAAGCCCGTGGCCTCGTAGTGGGACATGCCAGTACAGGCAGAGAGAAAGGGGGCATTTTCAATCATGCTCGGGAGGGGCGAGTGAAGACAGACGTGCGTCCAATTTTCTCTTGCAGCTGACATCATCCATGGTAGATGAGCTTAGCTTGCTCCTGATCAAGCCGAGGAATCAGTGGAGCAGGAAAGGGCTCTTAGCAGTAATGACAATAATGTGCCTTGCATGCTCGGATGGCAGGGTCTATTGCTCCGATATTTAGCATCTTGCTGACAAAGGATGGCCTCGCCCCTCAAATGGCCCAAAATATACTCACCAAACAAATTTACAAACTGGGCAGATGGGGTAATACATTCACATCATTGCTGGGGCATGCACTAGCCATTAACACATCTGTTTATTCTATGATGTGGTACATAGTGTCACTCTGGACCGTTCCGGACCATACAATCAAGGAGCTTAACCGTAAAGCAAAAGCATACTTGTGGTTTCGACCATTCCGGACCATACAATCAAGGAACTTAACCGTAAAGCAAGAGCATACTTGTGGTCGGGTGACCCAAACAAAGAGAACTGCATACCAAAGATAGCTTGGCATTACATCACAAGGAAACCAAAAAAGAAGGTCTTCGTATCATAGACCCCAAACAGGAAACCAAAACCTTACAAGTTAAATGGATAGTCAAACTACTGACTAAGCCTGGTACAACATGGAATAAACTGGCCTTGGATAGCATTAGGGGCCTAGCACCTACAGCCACACCAGCAAATATGCCCGGCCTGTTCTGGGTAACGACCAAGGAATGGAGTCCAAGTACACGGCGCAGAAATCAACGAAGAGGAACCGATCCAAATGAAGTCAGACCCCCTACACCATAGTGGACTGCATTGTTACGGATACGCGGGAAGTCGTGCCAAGGAAAGTGGGTATACCCATAATCCAAAGAAAAGTACTGGGTCAACCCCTGTTTGGTAATCTGTGGGTGAGAGATGAAAGTGATCACCAACTATCCCTTAAGTCTAGAGGAAGGAGATGGTTATCATGGATCAAACATGGAGTTTGGAAAGTGAGCCATCTGTGGAACGAGGAGAAAAAGGACTGGATGACAGAACAGGAACTTGCCTCCCAGCTCAAAGGATGTCACCAACGAGATGACAATTTACAATCAATTATCAACTGCATCCCAGAAGGCTGGAAGCAGTTGTTGAGCGAAGTCTCAACTTGGAAATTGGGTGAATGGGGAGTGAGAGTGCAGGATTTAACCCCCACAAGGGCCTATCAATTCTCCCATAAACAGCAAGGGTCAGATACCCTGGCAGTGTTTACCTCCTTCCACTTTACCCCCTCCACGCAAGGCCTTCCATCTATCATGAATAAGGAAGTGGAAAGATCAGTCCTAAACCCTTTTGTACTCAGAAAAGTCAAGAGTGTTGGGTTCATGGCCAAAAACAATCTTCAGAATAGATACGGCGATTCAAGACCTGGAATTTGATCCAGCAGAGTGGGCTTGGACACCAGACCGAAGTAGAAGCCTCAAAACTAACGTCTCCATTCAGGAATACACAGTCAAGCTGGGATACAACTTACTCCTCAAAACAAAGGATCCTGAGTCCTGACCCAATGCTCAAGAACAGATGGCAGAAACTAACAGGTCAAGACGCTAGTCAGATCCCACAAATACCATGGAAAAATTTCAAGTCAATTCGTCCGGTTAAAATCAGAAGCCTACTATGGCTCATCTCATACGTAGCTCTACCGGTCAACCAGTGGTTGCATATCAGAAGAAGCAAGAATGACCCTAACAGTTCAGATTATGCGTGGTATTTTCAAAAAATGAACCAGAAGATATGCTACATTGCCTGATACGCTGTAGAGAGGCGACCGGATACTGGGCGAGGGCCTCGGATCTCTGGGATTCCCTCTTCTCGACTCCCCTCCCTGAACATCCCATCCAACTCCTTTTATGGAGTAACATCCCAGCTCAATTCCACTTTTATGGAGTAACATCCCAGCTCTATTCCACAAGACAGAGTGGTTTGGAATGATCAGAAAGGTAACGCTGTGGTCCATCTGGAAGGAAAGGTGCTGTAGAACCATTGAGGGACTCTCAACTCCAAGGGAGAAGGTATGGGCGGAGACAAGGACTTTGATTCAGGGGGAGATCCTTTGTAAGTGGCACAAGACGAGACAGTCCATGCCAGATGACGAAGAGCAACATAATAGAATCAAGGCAACATTCACTAAGATGTGGCTTGCAAGGGGCAACGTGGCAGAGATAAATGACTTCCACATACGATGGAAAGGCTGGCACAACTCAGAAGCAGGGTGGAGAAGGCAGAGATCCCAGCCAGCAGAAGGGCAACATCCATCACAGGTGACTTAAGATTGGAGGGCGAATTCCGAGACTGCAACTTCCGTAGCTTCTCTTGCCTTTCTTGCTCTTTATTACTTATCTGACCGGCTCATGTAGTAGACCTGAGAGGAAAGGTGGAAGTAAGGCAAGCTGACAGTCAATCCTCCACGATGCGGGAGTAATCAATGCTGGTCAGGGTTCCTTCGGTCGGACGGAAGGAAGCGTGAGTGTGTGTCATGATGTAATATTTCTTTCTGACTTGCCGGTGGAATAGGAACTGGACTGATGCTCCCCAGAATGGAAATGGAGTCACGGCCATAAGGACCTGTCATGAAAAAAACAAAAAAACAAAAAAATAGCTGAGAGGAAAAAGCAAGGATAGTCCTCATAGGAGGCCTATGAGCAAATATTAGGTGAGTACGACTAAATAGCAGATAAATTGAGATCTGTCTCAGAATTGTAGCAGCTAGGCTAACTTAGGCAGGGGTGAGGGATGGTACATCCCTCTCACAGGAAGTAATCAATGTCATCCGCTCGGACCTCTCAACCATAATGGGAGGAGTGTGTGTGCGTAACTGTTGTAAAAAAAATGGAAAGGAGCCAGAACCGCAAAAAAAAAAAAACAAAAAAAAAACACCGGAAGGGCTAAACGCCTCAGAAGAAAGGAAGAAGAAAAACCATGAATACCGAATGCTAACCGCCTCAGAAGAAAGAGGAAAAACAAAGGAAAGTTAGACAAGGTTTAAGGAAAGATTGGGCAAGAAGAGCATACCTTTCTTCGAGGAGGCAAAGGGCAACAAACAGAGGGCAAAAAGCAGCAGGAATGGCACGAACAGTACCGGCACCAGAACAATAGTAGTAGTAGTAGCAGCAGCAGTAGCTTTGGTAGTAGTAGTAGTAGTAGTAGTAGTAGTAGTAGTAGTAGTAGCAGCAGCAGCAGCAGCAGCTGCAGCAGCAGCAGCAGCAGCAGCAGCAGCAGCAGCAGCAGCAGTAGTAGCAGTAGTAGCAGCAGTAGCAGTAGTAGCAGCAGTAGTAGTAGCAGCAGTAGCAGTAGCAGTAGCAGTAGTAGCAGTAGCAGTAGCAGTGGCAGTGGCAGTAGCAGCAGTAGCAGTGGCAGTAGCAGTACCAGTACCACTACCAGTAGTAGTACACTAGTAGCAGTAGCAGCAGTAGTAGTAGCAGTAGTAGTAGCGGTAGTAGCAGCAGTAGCAGCAGTAGCAGCAGTAGCAGCAGTAGCAGCAGTAGCAGCAGTAGCAGTAGCAGTAGCAGCAGTAGCAGTAGGAGTAGTAGCAGTAGCAGTAGGAGTAGCAGTAGCAGCAGCAGCAGTAGCAGCAGCAGCAGTAGTAGTAGTAGTAGTAGCAGTAGTAGCAGTAGTAGCAGTAGTAGTAGCAGTAGCAATAGCAGTAGCAGTAGCAGTAGCAGTAGCAGTAGTAGCAGCAGTAGCAGCAGTAGTAGTAGCAGTAGCAGTAGCAGTAGCAGTAGCAGTAGCAGTAGCAGTAGCATTAGCAGCAGCAGTAGCAGCAGCAGTAGCAGCAGCAGTAGCAGCAGCAGTAGCAGCAGCCGTAGCAGTAGCAGTAGCAGTAGCAGTAGCAGCAGTAGCAGTAGGAGTAGTAGCAGTAGCAGCAGCAGAGTTGGAAACAAATATAAGAAACACAGCATGGTATAGACAATTTAGAGTTAGGTTTCGTAAGGATAAATAAGCTCAAATTAGTTAAACGCAAGTCAACTTTGGAGACTTCCATTACTCCGCAGGCCATTGTGAAATCTCCACCAACGCGGCCTGTGTTTTACATATGATTTTCTTTGTTAACAGGAGAATCATACTGACCATGTAAAACAAAGACCCTTAATACAGGTGATCCTAAGAGCAACGAAGTTGCCTCTACCAAGAAAATTTGGGAACGCCTTCAGCTTTTTTGTCCATATGCCGGCAACAGCAGCAGCAGCCGCCGTCGCAGTGGTAGTCGTAGTGGTAGTCGTAGTAGTCCTAGTCGTCGTAGTCGTAGTAGTAGTAGTAGGAGGAGGAGGAGGAGGAGGGGGAGGAGGAGGAGAAGCAACAATCCGATAAGCAACAGATCGCATGATGCAAAGATTTCAGAGCAGTAAGTTCAACATTGTATGCCTGCACTCTTATGCACTGGAGCTAAAAGAGACTGAAATCAGTCTGCACTCTTATGCACTGGAGCTAAAAGAGATTGAAATCAGTTAAGAACTTAAGGTACCGTGCAGAGAGAGACTCACCTTGTGTGCTTCCTTAACGACTTTATGACAACAGGTCCGATCGTAAGGTTTGGAACGAAGTTTCTGTCAAGGACAACAAACACATCCACTATCAGAGATTAGCGAGTGCTGTTCCGCGTCCCTCTCGTTTTCCATTTCCAGATTAGTTTTCATATTTCTGGTTCCTATCTGGTTCCATTTCGAGTTTCCTTCTTCTTCAGAGTTTTCTCAAGTTTCCCCCAAGTCCCCTTCTTGTCGCACTTCTGTCTTGCTTCCTTAACATTTTTTAAAAGTTCTTTAAAAAGGACGATGGATAGACGGACAGACCGAATCAGTAAGACGGACAAACAAACGGGTGGACAGACAGACAACCGGACAAAGGGACGGATGGACAGAGACAGAGAGACTGCAAGTCTTTTTTTTCCACCACTCACCAAAGTGCAAAATCCGTGAGTGAATCTTAGCTACAACAACTGCTATGAACTTTAGCAGCAGAAGTTTAGCTGATTATGCTCTTCACTAATGCACAAAGGATGACAGAACCTTTGGCTTTACCATGCACTTGACAACTTCCATTCGTCCAATGTCCCTACCGTCTTCCCCCAAACACAGTGGACAGTCATTATCCCTGTATCTATAGAGAAAGACAGTGAAAGTTTCCCCAAATACAGCTAAAATGACCATGCCAGGCATGCCTTCTATTGAGGGGAAGATGGTAGGTATCATGATTGTTCGCCAGAAAAAGCCATCTCCTAAACCCTAAGAAGTTAAGAACCCATAAACCCACGACCGTGGTGAGTTATCAGAGGTGCAACTGACCAGGACATAGAAAGTAATTGAAAAGCATAGATTCAGAGAAAACGTGGTACTTTTTGATGACATGAACAGCAAGCCGAATATCCTGAGAAAATGCAATACACGATCAGTGCACAAATGCTCAGATCCGCAACAATATGGTATGTGTGGCGAGGATTCTCCACAGTTTTTGGCAAATGGTGCACGGCTGATTGATGTCCTAGGCACAACTGTTTCCAGCCGTAAATTTGTTGATCAACCAAGACATCACAAGCAAATGTCAAGCGAGCTCCTGTCCCTAACATTCACTATGAACAGCAGATTCAGAAAAGGTACCTCAACAGTAGTTAAAAGGGCAAAAGGGCAAATCCACACTACTGTCTATTTGAAGCTCGAACAGAAGTCTGGAACAGTATGAAAAATGCAGTCCACCCAGCCTTCCTGTATAATTAAACAATCTAACAAGCTATTCAATCGTGGTCATCAACCCACTTCTCCCACTCTTTATCTGTTCGCCCCCCTTCTTATCCCGCTTCCAGCCGTAAATTTGTTGATCAACCAAGACATCACAAGCAAATGTCAAGCGAGCTCCTGTCCCTAACATTCACCATGAACAGCAGATTCAGAAAAGGTGCCTCAACAGTAGTTAAAACTTTAAAGGGCAAAAGGGCAAATCCACATTACTGTCTATTTGAAGCTCGAACAGAAGTCTGGAACAGTATGAAAAATGCAGTCCACCCAGCCTTCCTGTGTAATTAAACAATCTAACAAGCTATTCAATCGTGGTCATCAGCCCACTTCTCCCACTCTTTATC